ACCTAGCTACTGCCTCCTGGGAAGGTGGATTAACTACAACATTTGAAGAGTAGACATAGCCCTAGGCAAGTGACACTGCATCAGTTCACACTCAGTCTTGAAAACATTTATTTCCACAACTGCTAGCAATGCTTTTTTTAATGAAAGTTCAAATTCTGGAACACTATTATGCAGAATAGCATGGATGCCATAGCAAACTACAGACATGGAGTTGAAGAACAGGTGGGCGCTGATTGTAGTGGTCACTAAGAGCACTACCTAATAAACAGACTTGTATGGGCAGAATTATTTGACTGCTGTTGTACGTCTTTTGAAGGAATGCTCATTTGTAATGACTGTTAATTACCACACATGCTCAATGAAAATAAATGCATATTACAAATACAAAACTACATTAAAAAGGACATTAAAGATGCAAAGTCAAGCACTTAAAAGTTAGAAAATGCCAGAATTAAAGTTGCATATGCAGTCTTCATTCACCCACCTTGTGAATGCACATGCATTATTATACAGTCTTTAATTACAAAATCACATAATATTTTTTTACATAAGGACCACTGCCTCCATCAGTAGAGCCTTGCGGGGATATAAATCAGTATCCACAAAACCGCAGGGCTTTCCGGGAACCTCAGTGGCTAAAGGAGCAGAACTTAGGGCTGCCATGCCCAGGAGGCAGCGCCCCGCGCCGGCAGCTCCTCTGGCATGGCTGTACTGCCCCCAAGCAGGAGACACAGACAGCTGCATGGAAGGGACGGGGGCAGGGTTGTGAGCGGTACAGCCATGCCAGAGGAACTGCCGGTGCGGGGTGCTGTCTCCTGGGAGTGGTTCAACTCCTTTTGCCACTGCGGTTCCGCGGATATAAATGTGTATCTGCGCAGGCCTCTATCCATCAGTTTACAGGATGGATGGTGCTCAATTAATGAGCAATTATTCAATATTTTGTTTTCTCTTTGTTCAGTGTATCGACCAAGGCATTATTTACGACACGCTATTCAAACCCTACTTTGGAGACGGTTTTAAGTATTAAGTACTTCATGGGCTTTTCTGTGGTGCTCATCTGTGTAGCATCTGAGTGCTTCACAAATCTTCACTTATCTTCAACACCACTGTGAGATGAGGGGATGGTGTTATCTCTGTTTTACAGTGGGGGATGAGGCACAGAGTGATTGTTTAAAAGTATCCACTAATTTTGGGTGCCTAATCTGAGACACTTAGGACCTGATTTTTCAGAGTACTTAGCATTATGTAACCTTTTACATGTTCAAAGCACAGTAACAATTGACTTCAATTGCAGGGTTCAGAACTTCTGCAGATCAGACACTAAGGCATCAAGTCAGGTGCTCATAAAATGAGGAACACACAAGTAGTGATCAACTGTGAAAAGATTGAGTTAAGTGATTTGTCCAGCATCACACAGCAACTCTGTGGCCAGAGGCAGCGATAGAATCAAATTCCCCAGAAAAGCATTCAGCTTCCTTAACCATTAGACCATCTTTTCTCTTCGTGCACTGAGAAGTGTGTTGCCTGTCTCATTCACTACGCATCTTCCAACTTATGCCACAAATGAGGCAGGGGTCCTATGAACATCCTTCCTTACTACACAATTGTGACTGATCCCCAGAGCAGGTCCTTCCTGTACACTGAAAGAGGTTGGGGTTCTGTGAAAAAACTAGTATGTGATCATGTAATTTAATAGATTGTTTCATAATGCATTCACACCAGGGACTGAATTAAGGTTCACAGACATCCTTATTTCTGGCATTTCCTAACTTTTGAGTGCTTGACTTTGGGACCTTAATAATGTACTTTTAGCATAGCTTTTTGTGTATTTTCCTAGATTTAAAAAAAAAAAAAACAAACAGAAAAATAAATCCATGTGGTATCAAATAGACACCAACATGGTTCAGCAGCAGGATTAGAATGTTTAGATCCACTGCACAGACATTGGCACTTTAGCTAACAGAGTAACTGACGGCAATAGTAGGTTGTCATCCTCTACGTGGAGCAATAATGCAAGATGAGATACTTCACTAGTGGGTTTCACAAATATTTACTGAATGGTGAAACTCGGGAATTTAGGTTCTGTTTCAGGCTCTGGAGGGGAGTGTGCTCTACTGGGCACAGACTTTTTTGATCATTTGCCCCAAGTGATGGACTTGGACTTCTTTTGCTCCATTCTTTCCAATCTGTTCCTGTCCCCATCTTGCCTCTTCCCCATCCTTTGGGTTCTCAACTCTGTTCTATTCTTCTCATCTAGCCAATCTCGGTCTGCACTCCTCAGAATTCCCATCTCAAGCCCAGTTCACTGACTCTCCTCACTTCTCACCTGATCTGCTTTTCTCCCTGCTCCTATCTCCAGTCGCACTCCTTCACACCTGCCCCCCACATTCCCCCTTCCTCGTTGGCTCCCAATCCTAATCAGTCTCCTTCGCTAAATTTCTTGTCCAATATTTTGATCAGCCAATCCAAGTTCTCCTCCTACACTACAGCTCTTATCTTATCTGTTGTCCCTTCCCCTACTTCTTCCTCCCCACCCACACTCTAGTGGTTCCCAGTCTGTCTCCCCCACTTCCTCAGCTCCTCATCTTATCTCAGTCTTGCTCTCCCCACCCAGTTCTCCTTCCTGTCTCCTTGCCCTGGCAGTCCCAATCTTTGCACTCTATCCTGGCTCCCAGTTGCCCCACCACCACGCCATCTCCTAGTCCTAATTTCTCTCTCCCCACCCCTGCCAACCTCCACTCCTAGTCTTGCCTCAGGATCCTTATCCTAATCTATGCCTCTGCCTTTTCGGTCTGCCACTTGTCCTCTCTGCTTCTGAATTAGGTAAGTTTCCCCCTCCACACTGCCAGCACGGGCAAATTGAGAACACGAGAGAGACAGTCTGCCTTCACTCAGTTCTGATACCCAGCCTCAGCCCACTCTTCAACAGCTCTGCAATTGCAGGGAAAATCATGCTCAGTCAGGTTCTGGAGCAAGCTCAATGCCAACTGATTCTTCAGGGAGTATAGCTGCAAATCTTTAATAAATCTAATGAGCATGTGAAAACTCTAATTTTTCAGAGGCTTATAATTTGGCTAAATTTAGGTGAATTATTCACAGGATTGGTAAAATGCACATTCTTGACATAAAGGTCACTGCCTGCCAAATTTCACATCCCTTCTCCAAAGCATGGAGATGCTAGAGCTTCTCAAAAGAGATTACCAGAATTTTTCAACATGGGGGGAAAAATGTGTTTTGTTCATAGGCTCATTCTCAGAAGCGGCTGAACTGTTTTGGCTGATTTTTCCAAGACATCAGCCTGAGACAGACACATGCAATGGGAAATTTCAGCCTGAATGGTAAAGTTTAGAAAAGTTATAAGCAACTGAAAACGGGGTCTTATAGGAAATGTTGGGCAAACAGCAAATAATAGGCTGTGATACTGTTGTATTAATTTAGATGGAACATAGAGTCCCAAAGATGGCATAACCCAGTTACTCACTGTCCAACATTAAATAGTGTTAAATAAGGTTCAGGGTTTAGTATACAGAAACCTCAGCCTGCTTAGTACCATGGGAAACACCATTAAAATCGTTTTAACCTTTTATTAAAGATAAAGAAAAGGAGGACAAACAGTTAAAGCATTTGAAATGTAAAGTATTAAATAAGGCTTTCATTTTAACAGTATTTCTTGTTCCCTTTCCCTTTAGCTGGAGAGAGTTTTTAATAGGACAAAACCCTTGTTTGACAGTCTCTTAGGTGGTTTCAAAGATGGCAATAACTCAATAACTGTCCTTTTGGGGGAAAAGAGAAGTTAGTTGCAATGGCCTGGAGCTGTTGTTGATAAAGTCCGATCCCATTTCCTCCCAGGTGATGTTTGGGATTCAGCTGGAGCCAGTGGAGGTGGTGATGTCATCTGGATGCCTTTCTGGCCTGTTCTGGATAGGACATCTCTCAGGATCAGGATGATGAAGGCCTGGAGTCTCAGGAGTTTGTGAGGGTGGCAGCTATGATGGCGAAGCTTGCTCCAATAGCCTGTTTTTCTCCCCAAAGTATTTTTTTAAGGAGTCACAAAGGAATGATGGGTGAAATAACCCGTCCCTTCATTACTTTGTCCACCAATTAGGCCTAGTTTCCGACAGACCAATTCTGATTCACTGATTTCTGGTTCCACATTTTTGTTGTTTACCAAGTATGATCTTTACACAGTTCTTAAATGAGCTCATTAGGCTTTGTGGTTTGATTAATTGAGCTTTTCTGTCTCCTTTTTGTACCTTTTCCCGTCAACATTTGTTATTGTAGGTTATTGTAACATCTCATGAACTTTCACATACTTTTTACAGTTGAGCTCACAATTAGGGTAAATTTTTAAGACCAATTATTACAACAGTACCAATCCTGTCTACAATAAAATACCAATGCTTATTAGTAAGTATAACTTAAGTGCAGTGGAAATATTGTAGACACTTGTAAGGAAATCCTCTTTTTATTTTTCTTCCGCTTTTACTTAAACTAATTATTGTGTTATGAAAAGATATAGCTGCTTTTCTGACCCTTCCAGCTCCATTTTTCTTTTAATTTGAGATATGAATGACTGTGATTGCCCTGCTATGACTTGACTGTTACATAACAAATATAACATAATACTATACTCTATGAGTTTTTTCTTTGTGCAGTTGTGTGAAACAATCTTACTTGTAATGGAAATTGATGACATGTGTTGTATGCTAAGAAGGCCATACAAGTGTCTCTTCCTCTACAGATACCTGTACAATAGTGTTGTACTCACCAGAATTTGACATAAAATGTTTTCCTTAAGTAGTAACTTACAAGTCTACTTTAATCAGTTTAATTTTTTTCAACCAAATTAAATTATGTTTGTAAAAAATCTTTAACTCAATTGCTGTTAAAGGTAGATCGAATGAGGGTCAAATTCTTCTATTGGGTATGTTCAAACAAGGGCAGAATTTAGCCCCATGGTGCTTGTATTTAACATGCCTCCTCCTTGTATTTGATTACAGAATCTGTTAGCGGAAAAGGTGGAACAGCTTATGGAATGGAGCTCAAGGCGCTCAGTCATCCGCATTAATGGAGACAAATTCAGAAGATTTGTGAAGGCCCCACCTCGTAACTACTCTGTGATTGTAATGTTCACAGCTCTCCAGCCACAGAGACAATGTTCTGTTTGCAGGTAATTTATACCCTATGAAACAAATTCTTCTGCTCTTCTTTCCCCCTTCTTCCCCACAATGCTCAATTAACTATGTTTTAATTGACGTCCGGTATAAGTGTTGTTGTTCTAGCTTAGATAAATAAATACCTCTCTGTCTTGTGGGTGCTTTCCATAGTATCTTCCTTCTGTGGTACATCTTATAATTTCTACCTGTGATACATTTTCTACCTCTGATACATCTTATGAATTTTGTCAATTATTTTATTAATTTTCACAATTTAAGAGCTTCTACTTAAATTAATAATTGATGTAAGGCTCTCTTTTCCTTCTTTAAAACAATCTTTTTTATTCCCAGTAAGTGTCTGTTGCCAGTTAGCCTTTGTGATGGTTCTTGAGCACCCAGGACTGTGAGTCACCTTGCTTCCCCCTGCCTTCAGCGTAAGGGAGTCTTTCTTGTGATAGCTAGGTGTCAGCTCCCTAACACCACCAGCCTTTCAGCCTCTCAAGTGCTCTCCTCTGGGCTATGCCATCACTAACTTTGCCTTGCAGTTTAACAATAGATACACCCCCATTTCTAAATCCCTTTGAATCGTTACCCCGTGATATCAAGCCCCTAACACTGACTACTCAGATAAATTCCAGATCCTCTGCCTCCAAAAGGGCAGGGTAGCCTCATTTACCAGTTTTACCTTAAACCCCCACTCCTGTAAACTGTGCAGCACTTGTGAGCACTAATGATAAAACAAAAGTAGGTTTATTTAAGAAAGAATAAATATTAAAGTAGAAACAAGAGAGAGCAGTGGAAACAACAGGTTGCAATACAAAACAAAATCACAAAACATGAATCTGGGTCTACACTTCCCAGTAGTTACTTTTCCTATGTAATAAAGTAGATTCCGCCCCCCCTCCAAGTTCGGTCTGTTGCAGGGCTGGCTGGTTTCACAAGAGCCAGGAAACATTAATGAAAGCCCCACACTCCTTTAGGGGTTTCCTCAGTGAATGGATTAAGACTGCATCTACCTACCCTTTAAAAAGAATGAGGAGTACTTGTGGCACCTTAGAGACTAACAAATTTATTTGAGCATAAGCTTTCGTGGGCTAAAACCCACTTCATCGGATGCATGCAGTGGAAAATGCAGTAGGAAGATATATATATATATATACACACACACAGAACATGAAAAAATGGGTGTTGCCATACCCACTATAACGAGCGTGATCAGGTAAGATGAGCTATTATCAGCAGGAGAAAAAACACCTTTTGTAGTGATAATCAGGATGGCCCATTTCCAACAGTTGACAAGAAGGTGTGAGTAACAATAGGGGGAAAAATAAGCCTGGGGAAATAGTTTTACTTTGTGTAATGACCCATCCACTCCCAGTCTTTATTTAAGCATAATTTAATGGTGCCCAGTTTGCAAATTAATTCCAATTCAGCAGTCTCTCATTGGAGTCTGTTTTTGAAGTTTTTTTGTTGAAGAATTGCGACTTTTAGGTCTGAAATTGAGTGACCAGGGAGATTAAAGTGTTCATAGAATATCAGGGTTGCAAGGGACCTCAGGAGGTCAACTAGTCCAACCCCCTGCTCAAAGTAGGACCAATCCCCAACTAAATCGTCCCAGCCAGGGCTTTGTCAACCCTGACCTTAAAAACCTCAAAGGCAGGAGATTCCACCACGTCCCTAGGTAACGCATTACAGTGCTTCACCACCCTCCTAGTGAAAAAGTTTTTCCGAATATCCAACCTAAACTTCCCCCACTGCAACTTGAGACCATTACTCCTTGTTCTGTCATCGGCTACCACTGAGAACAGTCTAGATCCATCCTCTTTGGAACCCCCTTTCAGGAAGTTGAAAGCAGCTATCAAATCCCCCCTCATTCTTCTCTTCCGCAGACTAAACAATCCCAGTTCCCTCAGCCTCTCCTCATAAGTCATGTATTCCAGTCCCCTAATCATTTTTGTTGCCCTCCGCTGGATGCTTTCCAATTTTTCCACATCCTTCTTGTAGTGTGGGGCCCAAAACTGGACACAGTACTCCAGATGAGGCCTCACCAATGTCGAATAGAGGGGGACGATCACGTCCCTCGATCTGCTGGCAATGCCCCTACTTATACATCCCAAAATGCCATTGGCCTTCTTGGCAACAAGGGCACACTGTTGACTCATATTCAGCTTCTCGTCCACTGTCACCCCTAAGTCCTTTTCTGCAGAACTGCTGCCTAGCCATTCGGTCCCTAATCTGTAGTGGAGCATGGGATTCTTCTGTCCTAAGTGCAGAACTCTGCACTTGTCCTTGTTGAACCTCATCAGATTTCTTTTGGCCCAATCCTCTAATTTGTCTAGGTCCCTTTGTAGCCTATCACTACCCTACAGCGTATCTACCACTCCTCCCAGTTTAGTGTCATGTGCAAACTTGCTGAGGGTGCAATCCACACCATCCTCCAGATCATTAATGAAGATATTGAACAAAACCGGCCCGAGGACCGACCCTTGGGGCACTCCAGTTGATACCGGCTGCCAACTAGACATGGAGCTATTGATCACTACCCGTTGAGCCCGACAATGTAGCCAGCTTTCTATCCACCTTTTAGTGCATTCATCCATCCCATACTTCTTTAACTTGCTGGCAAGAGTACTGTGGGAGACCGTATGAAAAGCTTTTCTAAAGTCAAGATATATCACGTCCACTGCTTCCCTCATATCCACAGAGCCAGTTATCTCATTAAAGAAGGCAATTAGGTTGGTCAGGCATGACTTGCCCTTGGTGAATCCATGCTGACTCTTCCTGATCACCTTCCTCTCCTCCAAGTGCTTCAAAATTGTTTCCTTGAGGACCTGCTCCATGATTTTTCCAGGGACTGAGGTGAGGCTGATTGGCCTGTAGTTCCCTGGATCCTCCTCCTTCCCTTTTTTAAAGATGGGCACTACATTAGCCTTTTTTCCAGTTGTCTGGGACTTCCCCCGGTCACCATGAGTTTTCAGAGATAATGGCCAGTGGCTCTGCAATCACATCCGCCAACTCCTTTAGCACTCTCGGATGCAGTGCATCTGGCCCCATGGACTTGTGCTTATCCAGCTTTTCTAAATAGTCCCAAACCACTTCTTTCTCCACAGAGGGCTAGTCACCTCCTCCCCATGCTGTGCTGCCCAGTGCAGTAGTCTGGGAGCTGACCTTGTTCATGAAGACAGAGGGGAAAAAAATCATTGAGTACTTGAGCTTTTTCCACATCCTCTGTCACTAGGTTGCCTCCCTCATTCAGTAAGGGGCCCACACTTTCCTTGACTTTCTTCTTGTTGCTAACATACCTGAAGAAACTGTTCTTGTTCCTCTTAACATCTCTTGCTAGCTGCAACTTCAAGTGTGCTTTGGCCTTCCTGATTTCACTCCTGCATGCCTGAGTAATATTTTTGTACTCCTCCCTGGTCATTTGTCCAATCTTCCACTTCTTGTAAGCTTCTTTTTTGTGTTTAAGATCAGCAAGGATTTCACTGTTAAGCCAAGCTGGTCGCCTGCCATATTTACTATTCTTTCTACACATCGGGATGGTTTGTCCCTGTAACTTCAATACGGATTCTTTAAAATACAGCCAGCTCTCCTGGACTACTTTCCCCCTCATGTTATTTTCCCAGGGGATCCTGCCCATCAGTTCCCTGAGGGAGTCAAAGTCTGCTTTCCTGAAGTCCAGGGTCCGTATTCTGCTGCTCTCCTTTCTTCCTTGTGTCAGGATCCTGAACTCAACCATCTCATGGTCACTCCCTCCCAGGTTCCCATCCACTTTTGCTTCCCCTACTAATTCTTCCCTGTTTGTGAGCAGCAGGTTGAGAAGAGCTCTGCCCCTAGTTGGTTCCTCCTGCACCAGGAAATTGTTCCCTACACTTTCCAAAAACTTCTTGGATTGTCTGTGCACTGCTTTATTGCTCTCCCGGCAGATATCAGGGTGATTGAAGTCTCCCATGAGAACCAGTGTCTGTGATCTAGTAACTTCTGTTAGTTGCCAGAAGAAAGCTTCATCCACCTCATCCCCTTGGTCTGGTGGCCTATAGCAGTCTCCCACCATGACATCACCCATGTTGCTCATACGTCTAAACTTCTCCGACTCATTTTTGAATGTTATAATTCTTGACGTCTGATTTAAATTTAAATGGACACAAATCAGACGTCAAGAATTATAACATTCAAAAACCAGTCAGAGAACACTTTGACCTCCCTGGTCACTCGATTACAGACCTAAAAGTGGCAATTCTTCAACAAAAAAACTTCAGAAACAGACTCTAATGAGAAACTGCTGAATTGGAATTAATTTGCAAACTGGACACCATTAAATTAGACTTGAATAAAGACTGGGAGTGGATGTGTCATTACACAAAGTAAAACTATTTCCCCAGGCTTATTTCCCCCCTACTGTTACTCTCACCTTCTTGTCAGCTGTTGGAAATGGGCCATCCTGATTATCACTACAAAAGGTTTTTTTTCTCCTGCTGATAATAGCTCACCTTAACTGATCACTGTTGTTATAGTGGGTATGGCAACACCCATTTTTTTCATGTTCTCTGTGTTTATATATATCTTCCTACTGCATTTTCCACTGCATGCATCCGATGAAGTGGGTTTTAGTCCACGAAAGCTTATGCCCAAACAAATTTGTTAGTCTCTAAGGTGCCACAAATACTCCTCGTACTTTTTGCTGATACAGACTAACATGGCTACCGTTCTGATACCTACCATTTGTTATTCTGAAACAGAATTTTGTCTCTATTCATAGCCAGGGCAATCTCTTGCCAGCTATAATGTCCATTTTTCCTGCCAAGTGGTTCAGATAATTTGCAGTTGTCTTTGATGGTTTCCCATTGACTGTTCTGAGATGTGGCAAGGGTAGACAATAGGACCTTGCATTACCTCACTGGAGGATTTAGAGAGAGGTGACAGTTCCCTCTTGCTTGAATGAGTCATCTCCGAGGCACATTACCTCCTGGTGACTAATTTCTTCTCCAAGGCCATAAAGCATATTTTCAGTATA